ACACACACATACAGTATATATTTTGAAAATATTGACATGTTTATACATTTTTATATTCATATTTGTATATTTTATATTATATATATATAAATCAATTTAATATATAAACATAACCTATTTTTCTTAAATATATACATGCATGTGCTTGTATTTATATATACATAATAAATATACACAGTACACACTCATAAATTTATGTACACAAAAACTTTTATTTTGGATGCGATTAATCGTGATTAATCGTTGTCCAGCACTAATTTTAGTATAGTCTAGTATTTTAAACTAAACTACCATTCAAAAGTTTGGAATCAGTAAGCTTTTTTTTTTAAATAAATTAATACTTGTATTCAACAAGGATGCATTAAACTGATTAAAAGTGACAGTTAAGTAATTTATAATCTTACAAAAGATTTCTATTTCAAATAAAAACTGTTCTTTTTAAACACTTCATTTGAACAACTTTAAAGGCGATTTTCTCAATATTCAGATTTTTTTTGTACCCTCAGATTCCAGATTTTGAAATAGTTGTATCTCAGCCAAATATTGTCCTATCCTAACAAACCATACATCAATGGAAAGCTTATTTATTCAGCTTCCAGGTGATGCATAAATCTCAATTTCAAAAAAATTGACGCTTATGACTGGTTTTGTGGTCTAGGGTCACATACATTAAAATAGAAAACAGCACTTTTAAATTGTAAAAATATTTCACAATATTACTATTTTTACTGTGTTTTTGATCAGTTAAATGCAGCTTTGGTGAGCATAAGAGGCTTCTTTGAAAAAAAAAAAACTTTAGAACAGTAATGTATATGAGTTATATTTACTAGTTTGACATGATCATGGTTGGCTGTAACTTTGCAAAGAAGGCTGATAAATAGTTATATTCCTATTCTCATGCTAACTGGTTTAATTTTTAAGTGTTAGTGAAGAGTGCTACCTGGATAATCGTTGACAAACGTCTGGTAGATCTCTAACAGCTCATCGCTGGTGATGTGTCTGTCTGGGTTTGGAGGAGACTTGAAGTCGAGGTCGTACTTGCCGTCACGGTAGAACTCAGAGGCGGCTACATCCATCCCGATCACGACTTTATCTGTGAAGCCGGCCTTGTCTATGGCCGTCTTTATCAACTCAAGTGCTGTGGAGGCGTGATAGACAAGTCAGTAATGGATAAATTCATTATGATGAAATTGGATCACACACTCAGACGAGGGCGTGCTAGAAACACACCTTCACTGTTCTCCAGGATGTTTGGAGCGAATCCTCCCTCATCGCCGACATTGGTGGCGTCTTGGCCATACTTCTCCTTGATGACACCCTTGAGCGTCTGGTAGAGCTCGGCTCCGACACGCAGGGCGTCACGGAATGACTCCGCCCCCACAGGAAGCACCATGAACTCCTGCATGGCGAGCTTGTTTCCAGCATGAGAGCCTCCGTTGATGACATTAAAGGCCTGGCGAATGGATAGAGAAGATGTGCTTAGTCAGTCTATTTCCCTAGATAATCAAGAGAAAATACCTCCAGATGTGAATTATGACATTGCGAGCTGAAGTCATGCAGTTGAGTAATGAGTTTTCTTACAGGAACTGGCAGCACTAGTTCTGTGTTTCCTGCCAGATCAGCAATATGACGATACAGAGGGACACCTTTTTCTGCCGCACCGGCCTTGCAGATGGCCAGAGACACTCCCAGGATGGCATTAGCTCCAAACTGAGCTGTAAACATGATGAACAGATTTAAAATGAAGATTGTATTTAATAATTATCAAATTTTTATGTGATTTATATGCTAGTTTCATTGCATAAGAAATGTTTTTTTCCATAAACAATGTAAGTTTTGGAACAAGTACTGAAATTATTAATGATTTCTTTTTTTCTTCTTTTTTTTAAAAGGTATTTTAGTTAGTGCCGGCTCGGCTAATGTCTGTCCCATGCACTGAAAGCTCTCTCCTCCACATCACGAGTAGACACGCCCCTTATTGCTGATTGGCTACAAGTTTGTTTTGCGATTCGGCCCCAATCAGTTTTCTAAAGTGTTTTTGAAAAACCACTTACTCTGCCTTTAACAGAATCCTAAAAAAATGCATCACAATTTCCACAAAAATATTAAGCTGTTTTCAAGATTGATAATAATAACAAATGTTTCTTGAGCAATCAATCAGCAATTTAGAATGATTTCTTAAGGATCAGGTGAGACATCACAGGAATAAATTACATTTTAATATAGTTTCTAATAGAAAACAGTTATTTTAATGTCACTTTTTTATTATAATTTATGATATTATTAATAGGTCTCCTAAAAAACACAAGACTCTTTCATCATTTACTCAAACTCTTGGCTTTCAAACTTGGCAGGTCACAATTCCTTACAAGCGTTTGGCATCGCTGACAACAAATCTGGCACACTTGTACACAGCATGTTTTAATATAAGCTACAGTGGAGGGTATGATTTCCAATAAATAAGTTACAATTTGGTTATGGATGGCGAGCTTGGCTTCAGAAGACTTGGAATATAGCAAATAACGTGTATGGACATATTGTATGCTGCTTTTTTGTCCTTCTAATGGTGTGTTCACACCAGACGATTCGCCTCAATCGCGTCTTTCGCGCAAGTTCAAAAATTTCAACTCTAGCGGAAAATTCGCATGACGCGTTCTCGCGCAAGCCAATCAGCTAAGAGTTTCTTGACACGTACAGTTGAATCAGACAATGGAAGAGAGCATGCAGGCAGCCGTCTGTTATTATATAGGTCTGGAGCATAGAAAACAATTAAAATCAGTTGTAGTGGTAGTTGTATTTTATTAGCATGGCTACAGAGATGCTGCTATCAATAATAAAAATAATAGTAATATCAGTGTATACAGTAGTAAAATGTAACACACACATTAATACATGATCCTAATGTTATACATCCTCCTCTGGATGGTGCTGTGAACCCACACACGTCGGCGTTTGGCTTTCCATTGTATTTGGGACTTTTTGACAACAGGTAACACACGGTGTGTTCACACTAGACGCGAAGCGAATATGCGCATCGCGTCACTCGCTCTAGATTACTCGCGGGATGTTTTTCGTGTCACTCGCGCGAATAAAACATAGCACGATCAACCATGGTGGAGATAACTACAATCGCTGTTTTGTACCTGTTGTCAAAAGTCCCAAATTTTCCGCTCCAGTTGAAATTTTTTAACTTGCGCGAAAGACACGATTGAGGCGAATATCGTGCGTTCGCGGCAAACGCGTCGCGCATTTCGCGTCATTCGCGTCGCCCGGCGCGAATTCGCCTCTATTCGCGTCTTTGCGTTGACTTTGTATGTAATCTACTCACGCGAATAATTACATTCGCGTCTGGTGTGGACACACCATAAAGTCATTTTATACGCATTTGAACATGCGGCTGAACATCTCCTTTTGTGGTCCACATAATAAAGAACATAATACAGGTTTGGAACAACATGAGGGTGAGTAAATGATGACTTCATTTCTATTTTGGTTGAACTATGTTTTTAAAAAGTGAAATTTTATCATGTAAGATAATAACTTACATTTGTTCTCTGTGCCGTCCATTTCGATCATCATGTTGTCCAGTTTCTCCTGTTCCACCACACTGATCTCCTAAAGTTCACATCATGAAGATAAATCTCTCAAGGTTAATAAAATACAGTGATTGATGCTTGATGAAAATGTTGTTTAATCATTAGCCCTGCTGCTGTGAAATTAACCTTGTTAACATCAAATAAAAAATGTGCAATATTTGGGTTTTTAGCTTTTGCACTGTAGACATGGGAGTATCTGTAACTTAAAAAAGACATGAAAACGAAAGAATGGAATGTGTAGATCAGAATGAAAATCAAGACCTGGATAATAGGAGATAATTGTGTCTCTGCCTTTGGTAGATTGGTAGCAGTGGGACCTGATTTAAAATCTCCTGTTATAAGTAAACGAGTATAAAAAAATGAAAAGAAAAATGATTAAGAAAAGTGCAGGGGTGGGATTTGATTCTGATCCCATCTGATCGGAATCTGATCTGTAAAACAAACAAACAAACAAATAACAAATAATTAAATTAACAATTGCTTAGAATTAAACCGAAAAAAAAAAAAAAACATATTTAAAACTATTGGGAAAGTGGCGACAAATATCTTGAGAAAAAAAACTATATGGAATGAAAAATAAATAAATAGGAGCCTGTAAAATAATATAAATCATAGTGAAAATGCATTAAATAACAAACTTCGCTGTGCTCCAATTAAAACCAAGTATATTTTGAATATAAACTGCAAATTATTCGATGATTTTTAACTTTTTAAAAAACTTCTTTTTTTTTTTTTATCGCATATACTGCAATTAATGCTTAACCCTAAAACTGGCAACGTATCCTGTGGGATACAAATATTTGAGAGGCTGTGGGTGGAGGCAGGGAAAGCGTAGGTCTCATTTCTTGGTTTCATGTTGAAAGGGTGTTTGTTGTGAATATTTAGATATACTGATTCTTTGTTTAGCTCACGGGCAGCATTTAAAACTGCATGGCCGCCTGTAGTGGGAAATCTACTCACTCTCCTTTAAAAGTTGATCTAGTTCCGCACACATTAGGATAGGTTAGATGCCTGCCTCCGTTGCGAGTCCCTATCAAGCACTTTACCGATTCAACTACTCTCTTCTTCTCCTCCTGCCTTGCTCTTTGGCCCGCATCACTCACCGCAGAGCAAGCCTGATCTTGATAATGCTGCTGTGAAAACGTGGGAAATGCCGACGAGAAAGAAGTTGGGGTGATGCGATCTTTATATAGGCGGAGCAAAATACTTCATCGCTCCGTCTATAACGCATTGTGATTGGATGGTTTACTCTGTCAATACAGGAGACAAACCAATGGGCCACTGGCTGCTCGCTGTCCCTGCGTGATGGCCCTCGAAAAAAAAAAAAAACATTCTGTCGGCCCCTTAAGTGCGTCGGCCCACCGGGAAAATGGCCCGATTACCAATCCAGCCCTGCATATATATATATGCATATATATATACTCTGTGATTTTGTGGCTTGTGTTTTAGAAAATCAAATCTTTTTGTAATCTTGACAAAACACATACTGTATCGTTGGAACTGTTTTGTAATAGAAGTGATATTGTGACAGAAAATTATTGATTTGTGACAGAAAACTGCATCAAAAGAATTCAATAGAGTTTGGGTGCCACCCAGTGGTTATTTTTGGTGTAGTGCCCAAACAAAATCTCACAGGAACCACAATTTTGGTGATATCAACTTCAAATTTGGAACATAACTTGGTTAGACATATGGCTCAGATTTTATAGCAATTTGAAGTGCAACATATTTTATAAGTATTTGTTTTATATACAATTTTTAAATAAAATTTAAATACTGCATTATCTTTACTGCAAACTTAAACTTCTATAACTTTTTTTATACTAGCAATAATCTGCTATGTGTCTTCTTTAAAAAGAGATTCCAAAGCGTTCAGGAATTACAACCATGTTGTAACAAGCATTGATAAACAAGTGTTCTGTTTTCAGTTAATTTATACCCCCAAACTGGCAATGTATCATGTGGGATACAAACATTAAAATCAAAATTAAAAGTCATTTTTTGAAAATAAATATTCAAGTTGTATTATTTGTGTCCCAATAAGATGGAAAATAGCAATAAATTAATTTTCTGATGTCTCTTTATGGTCTTGCCATTTTTAGGGTTAAATAACTCCCTAATAAGCAAATATGCACAGATTGCAGTTTATACCCCTTCTTGTGCTGGTTGAAAACTGATTCTTTGGTTATTTGTTATAAAAACAAAGGTTCATTGAACACCATTCTCTTTGCACTTACAGATGCGATGAGGGCTGGTCCAAGAGTGTCATTAATGTGACCAACAGCCTTCAGTACACCTTAAAACACAAGAAAAACAAAGTCACGGTCACGGCAGGTCAAATTGAAGATAAAATAAACAAAACTATTGCAGAAGGCTTCAAAAAATGATCTATTTAGATTTAATTGATCTGATGTTTTATGATGGTTAATAGTGCCAATGTTACAATGGGCCATCTGTGATCGCTCACCTTTGCCCTTGTAACGGCTCTTGTCTCCATCTCTGAGTTCCAGAGCCTCATAAATGCCTGTCGAAGCTCCGCTTGGCACCGCAGCCCTGAACAGACCTAAAAAAAACACTGACACTTCACATCTGTCTTTTATTTACAGCAGTGAATAATACATAATGCATCCATATCTTAGTGATAGATCTGTGTTGACAATTTAATTTTTATACATTTACATTTGTCTCTTAAAAGTAACTTGCGTTTGGATATATTTTGATATTTTTTATTTTATTAGATTTATTTTTAATTGTATTTTGTGTTCATGCATTTTTGCAGATGCTTTTAATAAACATGTTTTGAAGACATCTGAATTTTTTTTTATTTCATTTACATTGTAGAAATCACATATTCTTTTGGTTTTAAAATTCAGGGTGACATTCTGCTCATCCGTTGCTGTAAAGAGACTCTATTGATTCACCTTTATCAGTTCTCAAGTCCACCTCCACTGTAGGGTTTCCCCGAGAGTCCAGGATTTCCCTGGCAACGATGCTCACAATGGACATCCTTAGAGAGAAAACAAGAGAGAGGGAATTAACTAAACCTCTGCTGACTCTAACAGGACAGGACGTTTAGAAACTGCGTCCATAGCATCCTTTAATTGACCTTGCATGGGTAAGACAAACTTCTAAAAGTGAGCGAGTCCTCCAGCATGTCAGCACGAACACTGTTTTGCTCTACCTGCACCTGCAATAAATCTCTTTTTACATTCGAAATGCTGCTCAAACGCAAAATGCATAAATTTAAGTGAAGAACTAGACAATATGTATTCTGTGATGCAGAAAACCACTCACAGAATGAGTATTTTGGGGACATGCTGAGTGCAATTTGTTCACCAAAGGAACACAAAATAGAGCTTTTGTGAATTTTTGTGCACAAAATCAGTTTTGAGTTTAGTGTTTGGTGCATAAAATAAAATGCTGACTACATTTCTGTTGTCGAAATGCAGCAGGGTTTGGCTTTCTGTGTACAAAATGCATTAGCGCAACTGTATTTTGTCATGAAATACTGTGTTTTCTGTCATTTAGTCCACACAATTAGTTAGGTTGCACTTGGTGCCGCAAAGAGTTGACAAAAATGTGTGTTGGACCTCCGAGAGGTCCAAATCTTTATGTTTTTAAGTCGGTAGCCTTATGGGCAGAGCGCCGACATACAGCACAGTTGTGCGACGAGCGTCCCGAGTTCGAATCCCAGCTCGAGGACCTTTCCCAATCCCACCCATCTCTCTCTCTCCCATTTCACATCCTGTGACTTCTACACTGTCCTATGCTAATAAAGTCAAAAAACGCCTAAATGAAAATCTTGAAAAATGGAAAAAACTTTTAAATCTTGATGTTTTTTTCTGAAGGAATGCCAGGTTTTGTTTACCCATCCAATTCGAAATCAAACACTCATCATCACATAGCCATTCGCAACCCCTTTTACTTCTATAATGTGTTTCATTTTGAAGTAAAACAAACGGAAGACAAAAGCAGGACAGGATGGATGGGATCATGAATAGTCTACGTTCTGTACAAGAATGTGATTTTGTTAAAACAATACCTAAATAGCTATTTAGTTACGAGTTAAAAGGAGAATCATTTATTATTCCATTTTGTTTAAAGATTAACATTTAGAATAATGTGCACTAATGAATCATTCAGAATAAGACCAGGAACGTGCATTAAGTAGCCTAAAGAGCATCCATTTTGACTTAACCCTCTAGGTCTTTCCATACACATCATGAGTGCCAATCAATCTGATGGCTTTGAAAATGAAACCGGTTTTCTGGAACATTCAGTTCCAATGAGAGATACAGTTCAAGCATCTACAGCGAGATGCCACGCTGGCAGCCAAAGAAAACCCAGAACATGCTAATTGCATTCTAAATATGCCACGACCGACATGGGCGCACGTGTCACCTTGCTAATGGAATGCGCGTCTCGTAGCACCGACCACCAGCGTTTAAACCGGGGGAGGAGGAGGAGGAGTAGAGGGGCTTTATTTGTAACGACAACGCTGGCATGTATGCCCGCAGGTGCCACGGTCCGAGCAGCTCCTGATCGAGCCTCTGAATCTGGACGCTGCTAAATTGCGCCGTGCAAGTGTTATACTGCAGCAACCGTGCTGTCAGCAGATATATATATATACAGAGGGGAGGGGGCGATCTGCGGAGGGGTGGGGTGGATAGCGCAGAAAAGTGGCGTGATGGGGCAAGAAAAAGATAAATAATTTAACATCCCTTTGGCGAAAAGAAGAGCTTTCTGGAGCACCGAAGCGAATGGTCGCACGGATTGTAATGAGAACTAGCGATGGCTCGTTCACTAGCGATTCGTTCGTTTTGCGTGTGTCACGTGACAAATATACGACTCGGAACTCTGGAGGTGAACTAATCGTTTGCGTTTCTCATAATTTACTGCATTAATGACTTAACTGTAATAATTAAAAAAGCTTGTTTTTTTTTAATCTAACATTTTAACTGAGCTCCGTTCAAATGAAGGAAGTGACTTGTACAAAATGAGATTGATTCAATTCAGTAAAATAAACGATCTTCCAATGAGAACAGATTGGACACACACCGATAGCACACGTAGCCTATATAGAAACAGTGAAGCAGACACATAGTGCGGGATCCATCTGCCCGACCCTTCACCAGCGGGCACCAGAAAACAACACTGCCACCCAAATTCACATCCAACATCCCAACATAAGGAGTGACTCCGCATGCAACTGTCTGTCCGCAGAGGCGTGCTCTAAAAACAGCTATGTTCTGACATAATAATAAATAATTGCTCATAAATTAATGCAACATTCACAAAATCATGCCCAAACTGAATAATCTATAATCCAAACCATTTTAATGCCCCCGCAACAGATGCATTAATGATGCAAAGGTGCAAAAGGAAGAATATAAGCTTTCATGCGATGATTACCTGCCGTCAGTGCGCGTAGCCTTGCGTTAGGCAAGCCTGGAAGTGTCGAGCTGCGGAAGAGAGAGGCAAAACAGAGCGAAGGTGGGTGGAAACCAGAATGAGAGCGAGATGACAGGAGAAACAGAAGGGGGAGGGGATGAAAAAATGAGTCAGAGGAAGATGCTGAGAATTAGAGAGTAGAGGAGGAGAGAAAGAGGAGGATGAGTAGGTCAAGGCGACTGATTAATAAGCGGGAACGAGAGACCCGGGAAAGAGGAGGGGAGACAACAAACACAGGGTGCTGCAGTGTTCCTCCGTGACTGCTGGTAAAAATAGATGGAGGAATTGGGTAGAAAGAAGCAAGACTAAAATCCTCCAGTGTTACTAGGGAATGCAAAGCTTATGATAAATATTAAAATGGTGAAAAGTGATATACATATTTTACAAATCGAACCTGCAACAAATAAAGGAATTAGAGGACAGTTATGATGTCAAATTAATAATAAATATTTTTTAAAATTCTCAAATTTATGTTGATTTATAATTGTCATGCCAATAATGTAATTTGTAATGAGAAATGTTACATTTGATTGTAAAAGAATGCAAAATAAAAATATTTTCACTTGCATGCAAAACGTTACAATTGTTATAAATCAACCTGACATCAAAATGATTTTATTTTTATTTATTACAAAATTACAATGATTTTTATATAACTTTATTCACTTTCTTAATATACGCTTCTTATTTTATTGTGTATGATTCATCAGTGCACAGTTGTCTAGGTTAAATGTCAAAAAAATCTTTGTCTTTATAATCTTTTATTGAAATGAAATAAGTTTCACTGCCTTTGAAACTGCTTTCTGGCTGTTGCATATTTGTTAACCAATAGCCAAAAAACTAAGTAAAATCTCTTTTACTTAAAGGCTACATTCTGGTATCAAAACTTTTTTTTAACAATCCCAAATAAATTTCCAATGGATAAAATTAAGCTCTGTCCTACATTTTTTCCCTTGCTGAATATCTTGTTTGAAACAGAAATAGGTTTCATTACAGAAGAAAAATGCATTGCAGGTGTTGTTGAGTTTTAATTGAACAAATTTGTTCTATATTTATGAACAGAATCTCTTATAGAGAACATAGTTAAAGGTCTTGCTGAATGACAGATATTATTACAGAAAATAGATGATATTGATGTATATAGGCCTAGTTTTTTTTATTTTTGTATGTGTGTGAGTGAGTGTGAAAATTTAGACTGTTTATTAGACTGACACATAAAGGTGAGTGAAAGATAATCTGTGATTACACTGTTTATTTTAATAAGATTAGTTTTCAGGGAATTGGGTCACACTGATCTTGACACCACAAACATTCATACTGAGATGAAGAGGGTATTATTTTGAAGATAACAGGCTGTACGAACCTCTTGGCCAGTCACAATTACATTACATTGTGGTGCTTCAGTGTTATGAATGTGATTACTGTTTTTCATGCTTTTTAAAAATATTTAATGTTATTAGAGAATAGCAGTAATGTTTCTTCCTCGATCGACAAAGCCCATAGCCGAGATGGTTTCACTAACAAGAAATAGGTGTTAAACTAGAATAGTGACTAACTAACAAAAAAAAAAAGTCACATTGTCCTATCTTTTAAATGTAACTTATCTGTGTAAATGTGTCTGGGCCAGATTTGGCTACAACTGCTTAATTATCTGTTAGTTGCTAAATTCACAAGAGAAAAAGGAGAAACCTTCAGGACGTTAAAATTTGCATTAAAAATTACAGACCAATAGTAAATGTTCATGTTAAAATAATCATTAGGTTTCTTGAATCACTGCAAGTACAATTAAGAGGTTTAGATTTGAGCAGCTTCCTTAAGTAATCCTTTTTATTTCTCCTACATTCTATCCATGAAATTCATTTAAAGATAATTTAAATACAGTACATTACAGACCATAAATTCCAATACCAAATAAAGGGAATAGTTCACCCTAAAATCAAAATTAGCTAAATAGATTCCCACTCAGGCCAAGATGCTTGGAGAAAGCAATGCGGACTCAAATTTAGCCAGACCGTTGCTGCCGTATTTTTTACGGTAAAATTCCGGCAACCACAGCTGCCGGTTTTTTACCGTAAATTTTACAGATTTTTTTTTACAGTGCAGCGATCTAAATTTAAAGACATCGCATGGATTTGTTTCTTAAAAACACACAGCTTTTGTTTCAAAGATGTTAATTGACGGACTGGAGTGTGGATTACTTGTTGTAAATTATTGTGATGTTTGTATCAGCTGTTTGGACTCTCATTCTGACGGCACCCATTCACTGCAGAGCATCCATTGGTGAGCAAGTGATGTGATGCTAAATTTCTCTTAATCTGACAAAGAAGCTCATCTACATATTGGATAGTCTGCAGGTGAGTTAATCTTCAGCAAATTTTCATTTTTGGGTCAGCTATTCCTCAGATCAGTTTACAGAGGTCAATAGTCAAAAACTGTTAGTGGATTCACGCTCAGAAAAAAGGTACAAAGGCTGACATTATTGGGGCGGTTCCCTGGCAAAAGGTACGAAGATATGTACCATTTAGGTACTTATTTGTACAATTTAGGCACTTAAATGTACCTTTAAGGTAACAAAATGTACCCTTTAGGGATACAAATGTGTACCTTTTAAAAAGGTACCACCTCAGTGACAGCTTTTGTGCTTTTTTTTTCTGAGAGTGTAAAAAAGTAGTGATTGTGATTGTTTTGGCAGTAGAGTTTAAGGCTTGAACAAAGTAAGAAATCCCTGACCTGAAATGATGCCAACCCTGAAACAACATACAGAACTACCACATTTTGCTATAAGTTTGATTGCATCATATAATAATTGCTGTTAATAGTGTTCATCGTCTGTTTGATTACGTCTTAAATTGATTTTTCCGTACATTTCTGCCATATGTACATTAACTGACAGTCACCACTGATAAGCTACCACTAAATATTGTAGAAACTTAATTTGCTGTAAAGTTGCTTTGCAACGATTTGTATCGTGAAAAGCGCTATACAAATAAACTTGAATTGAATTGAAATGTAATCTTTAGCATGTTGAATACGCAGTTTAACCTGCCAACTGGATTCAAAGATAAATAAGAACAGCGGTGTCTCTTTGTCCCTTTTAAAACGCCACTCTTAAAAGAAAGATCTTTTCATTGTGTTGACATCACAGCCTGGCTGAATAAACAAATCTGTGGTACATATTCTGTTGAGTCATGGCTTTCCAGCATGTGTCAAATTCACTTTAGCAGACAGGTCACTGTAGAGTCACAGGACTGTCATAAATTATTTTGCATTTCTTTCACAGAGTTGTCTATTTGTACTTCAAAAAATACAGCAGTATGCATCTCGGAATAAGAAATCTTGTCACTGTTGACATCTCAACATTACACTCCACATAACTGCTAGATTCTATCAATATGACATTCTGTGGAATCACATTTAAATCAATAATACGATTTCTGTAACCAGCACAGTTAAATGATAAATAAATGCATTTCATTTGAACGTTATTATTTTTTGAACCTTAAACCGCATAAACATTTCATTACACCAAATACACAAAATAATGTTCTTTTTAGCAGCATCATATGACCCCTTACTCACAACTAAGTTCTACCTAAAGCACATATAGAAACACTTCAGCTGAGTAAGTCTTCAGTGTCACATGATCCTTCAGAAATCATTTAATATGCTGATTCAGTGCTCAAGAAACATTTCTTTTTACTGTCAATATTGAAATCAGTTGTGCTGCTTAATATGTTTGTAGAAACTGTGATACATTTTCTTTCAGTATACTTTGATTAACATAAAATTAAAAAGAACAGCATTTATTTGAAAAAGAAATATTTTGTAAAATTATAAATGTGTTTACTGCTACTTTTGCTCACTTTAATGCTCTTTGCTGAATAAAAGTATTAATTTAACTAAACTTAAACTTTTTTAAGAGTAGTGTAAACATATTAAACAATGTAAGGTAGCTTTAATGGATTCAAATAGCTCAAATCACTATTACCCTGTAACTTGCTCAAACTGAAATGTATTTCAAGTCTTACTGAAATTAAACCAGCCAATAAAAAACAATACACATATTCGAGATGTGTATTAAAAATACAATAATCAAGTATTTGGACATGTCTCTGGGTCTACAGGTTGTGTATATCACTTCTGGTCACTAGGAGGAGCAATATCTCTATGCCAGATTGCACAGTCAACCACTAGAGGTGATCATCAACACATTCCTGATTGTCTGTCACCATGATTACTTTTACCCTAAATCATTAGTATAGTCCAGGGGTGCCCAAACTCAGTCCTGGAGGGCCAGTGTCCTGCAGAGTTTAGATCCAACTTGCCTCAACACACCTGCAGCGAAATTTCTAGTATGTCTAGTAAGAGCTTGATTAGCTGGTTCAGGTGTGTCTGATTGGGGTAGGAGCTAAACTCTTCAGGACACCGGCCCTCCAGGACCGAGTTTGGGCACCCCTGGTATAGTCAAACACTCAACTAGTAAATACACACTTAATTTTGCAGACAGTCTCTTTAGTAATTGTTTAAATGTTTTAGTGTTTCCTAGTCTTGCCCTAAAATGTCTTGTGTTATTAATTTTTGGGTTTACATCTACAAGATTTATGATGTTTTGTTCTCCAGGCAGTTTTACTGTAGTTGGATTATGGATTTCAATAAACACCCTACATGGATCCTAACCATTCTTAAGACTGCTGTGCTAGAAATTGCAATCATAACCTTACCATTGCGTTATGTTGGTTGGTTGGTTAAAAATAGCACATACAGTATCTCACAAGCACATCTGGAAGGGAGGAGATGCCATGAGTCAGTTACTGGAGACCTTATGTTTTCATAGTATAGACTCTGTCTACACTACCACTCCAGACACTAGATCAGAAAGCTTTGAGAACAGAAAGGTCTACAAACGAATATGTAGCAAAAATATAGTGACTATAAGGTCTATAAATGTCCACCTACTTCAATTTAAAAACTTGAGTTCAGCTGCTGACTTATATTAAACTGACGTTACAAAAATCAAGTTAAATCTTGTATAACTTTAAAAATGAAGTTGAAATTGGTTAAATTAATTTGAAGTTTAACTAATAGAAAAACATATGCTGACTTGACTCATTGATCATATCATTTTTACAGTGTGCAAGTTTCTCATCCCAAGTACAAAATAGCATGACACTTGCTGGAAAAAAAAAACATTTTTGATCTTCTATTTAACTATTCAGTTTGTGATCTGAATTCATTCCATATGAGAATATAGCCTATATCTATTTCCATGTGATCTACAAATAAATAAGACAAACCCAGGGCGCCTAAAAGCATTATGAATTAATAAAGAGCATGCATTTGACCTGATTTCAAATGTTTCCAATGGTAACGGTTTCAGGTTGGGAAAATTACTCATTATCTCTTGCAGTGCCCCATGCATCTCATGCATCATTTATTTATTTTTTAATCAGAATGTTGTTGTTTTTTTTACACGTCTAAACTACTTACAGTAATGTGTGTTGTATTTCACAGTGTGTTGCAGCGGGGGCCCTGAAGCTAATGCATTATAATTAACATCCATTGTTTACTTACAGAACTACAATAGGTCCATGTGATAAAAATTAATCGATTGCAATGCTTTGGAATATGATGGGGGTGGGGAATAAGAGGATATGGAAATGGCACAGCCATTATATGGTAATGTATATCGAATGTGTCATATTCATAATGTTCATTCTGGAAGCCTTGACCAATTACTTCCCTTTTCCTCATGTTTACAATGAACATTGTGTGTAAATGTCTGTACGGTGTGCAAAAAAAAACAAGTAACCAGCCAACTGAAGGATAACGTCTAGTCAGTGTCGGAGATATGAACCTGCAAACCTGTAGTAGCCAGGATATCGGCATCAGTTCTCCGGAGCCAGTGGAAGGCCCTGATCCGGACGATGGTGAAGACCGTTCAGAAAGCGAGGGTAGCGACTACACACCTGGCAGGAAAAAGAAGAAAAGAGCCTGCACCACAAAGGACAAAAAAAGAAGCAGCTCTGGTGCCGACAGAAACTCAGCCGCTTCAAAACGGAGAGAACCTGAGGAAGAGGAAGACGAGGATGATGACGATGCTGTGAGTTCTAAATTAAAAGCTAAATTAACTGCATGACAAAGTAAATATAAATTGAATCACTCAGTTCTATAAGACGTGTTTTTCCTGAACTGATTTTAAGGAGCCAAAAAGTTCCTCTCAACTTTTGGATACCTGGGGTATGGAGGACATCGATCATGTCTTCACTGAGGAAGACTATAGGACTCTGACCAACTACAAAGCCTTCAGCCAGTTCGTCAGGTATGAGTGCATCATCCACACATGAGAAACATCATTGAACGTTTTTATAGTAAAGTCACCATTAAAACAAAATTGACAGTACTTTTTTTTTTTTTTTTTTAATGTAATATTG